TAAAAACAGACCAGAGACAGGTGGAACCTCTGAAACGATGAACTTTTGTCACCCTTCAGGTCTGGAAATGGATTCACCCCCATGACTCCATTTCCAACCCAACAAGGGTTAGCTCGATAAGGGGAACAATAAGATTAAAGAGGTACGAGGTATGTGTGCTTCCCATAGTCAACTATTTGAGACTAAACGGGCAATGTTTACTCCAGGACAATGTTTGGCAGTGGGAGGAATGGAAAAGAAAGAGAGGAAGTGGGTAAATGATGTTACTGGGGTGGAGTGAAATTTCTCAGTGCGGCTCTTTTCCCAACGGTGTGTTGTTGCTGTTGCTGTCAGTCATTGAGACGCAGCGACCACGTGCACACAGAACGAAACACTGCCCGGGCCCGCGCTGTCCTCACCATTGAGCCCATGGTTTCAACCAGTGTCCATCCACCTTATTGAGGCCCTGCCTCTCTACTCCATCAAGTATGATGCCCGCCCGTCTCCAGAGACTGGTCTCTCTTTACGTATCCAAAGCGTGAGACAGTCTGACCATCCTTGCTGTACTTCTTCCAAGACAGATTCGTTGAAGTCTCTTAAACACCTAAAAATGACTGTGTGACTATGCAAATAGGGTACGTGTAACACTAATTGGTCCATTTTCATTAACTCCCTCCCCAACCCCATAAGGATGAGCATCTTTGAAGCAGCCGCAGAGAGAAACCTCAGGGACACTGGAAGAGAACTTTCCAGATCGGTCTGAAGAAGCAGAGGCCAGCTCCATCCGACTGTGGCACTCAGAGGCACAGCACAGCACCCGCAGTGATGGGGCACCTTTTCCTCATCTGGCCTGAGACTATGGGACAGTGACAAATGGGTTCTTTCTGGTTCATGGAAGCCAAGGCCAAGGAACTGTGTGGCTGAGAGACTTGGCTGCTGGCTGAGACCAGTGACTGACAGTTTGCTGATCCTGACTTGGGATAACCTACTGACTTCTCTAATAAAGCCCTTGATTGGGAGTATTGTGAGTTCTGTGTGGCCGTTGCAACAAATTATCGAACCAGCATACAGAGTAGCATGGAGCAATGAACTGAAAAACCAAACTCATTGCCATCTAGTCGATGCTGATTCATAGTAACCCTGTAGGACAGGGTATAACTACCCCTGTGGGTTTCTGAGACTCTAAATCTTTACAGGAGTTGAAAGCCTGTCATCCTCCCAAGGGGTGGCTGGTGGTTTCAAACTGCTGACCTTTTGGGTTGTAGCCCAATGTGTAAACACTATGCCCACAGGGCACCAGGGAGGAATGGTTGGTATCCAAATAGGCAATGAAGGGTAGTGTGGAGGTATGTCTGACTCTTTTGCCTTGTGGCAACAGGGAAGCCAGGAGGTATATATCCACTTCCATGCTGTCTACCACAATTACATTGTGGGGATTGCAATCAGTGACATGAAACAAAATGTGTACGGATTATTGAATGGAAAACTGATTTGCTATGTCGACCTTCATGCAATTCTCAGGAAAGTTAAAAAACTAACAAACAAAAACACACATCAATTTCATTCAGAGGTGACTCAGAAGAAAGGATTGGTGATCTGCCTTTGTAAGACCAGCTATTGGAAAACAAAAACAAAAACCAGCTAATGGAAACCCAGTGGAACACACACACACACACACACACACACACACACACACACACATCCAACCTCTAGTTCCATGGAGTCAGTTCTGATTCATGGCAATAGGGTTTTCAATGGCTGTTCTCCCCTGCAGAAGTAGATGGCGAGTTCTTTCTTCCGCAGTGCCTCTGAGTGGGCTTGAATCATCAGGCTAATGTTTAGCCGTCAAACAACCATGTTCACCACCCAGGGATTCCAGATCAAGAGAAAGAAAGCAATAAAAAGTAGGGCCTGTATTTTCCTTTTAAGAAAAGTTTTTATTGTGGTAAGTATATATAAGACAAAAAGCACTTTCCATTGTAACGTTAAAAAAACAACATACAATTCTGAAAAAGTAGTCTAACGGAAGGAAATGAACACAAGCAGTCCCCCAGTTACTAACGGCTGACTTAACATGTGATTTATGGTTAACCCTTACTTGCACTTCAATGCAAATGTTCCCATAAATTTTTCCTCACTTTGAAACTATTGAGCCCTTAAGCCAACCAACTCTCCACACAATCACCATCTCTAGCTGCACATGCTGTTTTCAATCACCGCACGAAAGTAAGGCAAAATAAGAACGCTATGCACCTGTTCCAACCCACCTACGAATTCCACTTCAAGGCACACTGAGGAGTAACAGCTCTTTGTGAACCCGGGGATTGCCTGGATTCTTTCCCTGCTATTGAATACACATTCTAGAAAATTGTCGTTTCCTCTCTAGATTACAGGACTTCTTTGAATCGAACTTCGATTCATTCTTTCGACAATCCTGACCTCCTGACCAGTCTGCGGTGAGAACTGGCAACAAAGGAATGACTTAGCACCCATATTCTGCCAACAATTGCCTCCCAAGTCGGCTGGGGAAAAGAATGGCCAATTCCTGCGCAGGGCAGCGGCCTAAAATAGGCGGCGCTGTGGAGTCCAGAGGGGGAAGCTCATTTCGTTTCCAGGGAGACTTGAATCTAGGGTTTCAGACAGGAGGGGCCACCAAACTGTCATTGCTCTTAAGTAAGCACGGGTGGAAAGATGAACAGCCTCGTAACTGTTTGCTCTTGTCGTCAGAAACCTTAGCGTCACCTTCGTGCGTGCCACAGGTAACCAAGGTGAGCTCCGTTTCCCCGCAGGATGTCCGGCAGGAAACAATGAAGCCCCGCCCGCCCCTGGTAAATCACTTCTGGGAAGGTTGGGGCGCGCTTGGCTCCTCCCCTCCTGGGAGGGTCGCCAGGTGGGCAGCCGGGCTGTGATTGGTGGAGGCGCGGGGCTCCGCCCCTCCCCGAAGCTGCCCTTTGGGGCGACTCCATCCGGATCGGGCTCAGCCTCGCCTCGGCTGATGGAAAGGCTGGGGAGGCCGCGCCCAGCCCAGCTCGGCCCGGAGCACCGCCGGTAGCGCCCTGCCCATGCGCGGTGGAACAGGGGCGCAGATGTAAACCCAGGTCGTCGGCCCCGCGGCTCCCCGGAGAGGCGGGTCCAGGCTCGCAGCGCCTGCGAGGTGCCTGGAAGCAAAGGGCTCGTCCCGCGCGTGGGGTCCAGGATGTAGGTTCTCAGAGCCGTTCCCGGAGCCTGTGGGGCGGGACCGGAAATGTAACCTGGCCCAGCCACCCCATCCTGCGCGCGGGCCCAGCGCGCCATCTGCCATCCTTAAACCCAAGTTGCAGCGTCCGGCGCCTTTTCCCAGGCACTAGTCAGCGACTCCCTCCTCTGCACTCAGGGTCTTTCCTCGTCCGTAAAGCTAGCGAGATCACGCCTTTCCTCAGAGCTGCTGCCCACTAGTCACCTTTGGGGCACCTGTTCAGTCGTCTTCCATTCCAATTAGCCACTCCCCTGGTCACAGCATTTCATCAGTTAACCACCCTGCTCCCCAGGCTCATTCCAAACCTCCCTGCTTACTTGAGTTATGAAAACAAACTCTGCCATCAAATCGATTCCATCTAAGTGGAACTGCCCCTCTGGGTTTCTGAGAATGCAGATCTTTACTGGAGTAGCCAGCCTCTTCCATACCTCCCTCCCCCAGCGCAGCAGGTAGTTCCCAACTGCTGGCCTTGCTGTTAGCACCCAAGGACCCACTAGGACCCCTGGTCTGAAAACCAAAGGCACTTGGATTTACCAAGTATCTGTTTTCCCTTCTCATGCCCTCCCTTAAAACAACATGTAAAGTTTTTATAGCTTTGCTAGTGGGCAATTATAAAAGCCTCAGGATGGGGGCTTTCTCCCCACTCATTTTGCCAGCTGAGCCACTAAGAAAGAGCCTAGGTGCTGAGGACCCAGGCAATCAAATCAGCCATGCTTTCCATGAGAATGACGGTAGCGATCAAAGGATAGTTGGGGATAATGCCACAGTGAAAAAAAATACTCTTGAAATTTAGGGAGGGGCCAGAAGTCTTCAAAGAAGGTAAGCTGGAACCAAAGGAGGGTTTTCAAAAGAAACAACAAAGGGGAAGGTAGCTTGACAGCTCCCTGGTGTCCAAATAGCTCATTTTACTTGAGAAGGGCTAGGTGGTAGGATTGTTAAAATGGGGATCTTAACAAATTTGCTACCTGTCTTAAGACCTCAGGCACATGACCCGAGTCTGTCCAAAGTGGATACCCAAGTCCGCTGCTCTGATGCATCGCAACCCCATAGGACAGAGGTTAACTGCCCTACAGGGCTCACAATATTGTAGTCTTTCCTGAAGCACACTGGTACCTCCTTTCCCACATCATGGCTGGTGGGTTTGAAATATTGACCTTTCAGTTAGCAGCCAAGCACTTAGATATCACTGTGCTGCCAAGATCAGACTCACTGTGAGGAAGTCAATTCTGACTCACGGTGGTCTTTTAAGGCGGAGTAGAACTTCTCCTGTGGGCTTTTGAGAGGGAGCAGGCAGCCTCCTCATTCACCCACAGAATGGCTGGTGGGTTTGAACTGCAGACCTTGTGTTAGCAGCCTAACACCTAACCCTAGGTTGGCCTGTAAGGCACTACCATTTTCCTTCATGTAATTTATTGGCATTGAAAAACTTGTGTGGGTGTTGAAAAAATTAGTGTCTCAAATGTGGATCTAGTACCTACTTTATATACCTTTGAGATAAGGCCTATCAAGGCCCAAGCCACCTGGCTTTCGCATGGCTATCACTTGCTGAACACCAAGCACATATTACAACATGTAGGAAAATGGTAGTGCCTTGAAGGCCGAGATAGAGCATTTAGATTGTCTCTGGGTAATAGGAAGCACACAGATTTCTGAACAATACAGGGCACTGATCAAAGTGGGTGGATTCTAAGTCAGTAAAGCCCTGTGAAGTGGTTACAACCCAATACGCTTCTCTGGCTCCCATCCAGATCCCTTTACCTTTAAGCACAAGCAGTTCAAACCCACGTTTCTAAAAACCAGCCATTTTTATATCTGTTGAAGTCAGTTGCAGAGAGAGCTGAGGTGGTGTATTTACAGGTTGGTTTGTCCGGATATACTATAACTTAGTGTCTGTATTTAATATTGACAACCAAAGCAACAACAAAAAATATATATATATATATAAATATCTTCTGACTATACACAGCAGAGCAGGGATATCCATGTCTTCTAGAGCGGGGCGTTCTCAGCCTCCCAGGGTGTTCCTCCTCTCTTGATCCTTCGGCCTCAGTGCAAAGGCCACTCGAGCCTGGAAGCCCAGCAGGGCCCTTCCCCTCTCCTCGCTGCACTCCAGTGCTGCCAACTGGTCTCAGGCGAGGATTGGTTCATCTGAGTGGTCAGGTCGCAAGCGATGGGAATGGGTGAATCCTGATGGAGCCTGACCCCTGGAGCAGGGAGACCCAGGATCGCAGAACGAAGTGGCTGCCTCTCCAGGTCGAAGTCCGGTAGTTCACTGTTCTCTTAGTGTCCTTGGTGACAGGTGCAGCCCTGTAGCTTAGCTTGTGACAAAGGCAAGTGCCGGAGAAGGGCCTGGTCATTGTCCTCAGGTGCTGAGTCATTCAGGGTGAAGCAGGGGGTGTGGGGTAGAGGAAACTCTGGCTGATAAAAAAATAATAAAATCAGTAATAAAAAATATATAAAAGCTGTTGCTTGACTGACGAGACGGAGCAACAGTCTTGCTTGTGTGAAAATCCTGGAACCATGAAAATCCTGAATATTCTTCTGTTATCACTGCTGAAGGAAGGAAGCCGTCCCAGGCCCGGGGCTCTGCTGACCGCTGTCAGTGTGGTGGTCTGGTCCAGCTGCCTTTGCTCAGAGGAACCCTGGAGGCTGCTGGGAGCAGGCCGGGCCGCGGGGCTGACTGCCTCACACTTGGGAGTCGGCCCCCAGCGGGTGGAAGAGCTCCTCTGGGGTCTTGTCGCTTTGACTGGCGCCCCCCTGGCGGAATCCAGAAGCAATCTCATCAAAGGTGCGGCCCTTAGTCTCAGGAACTTTGAAGTAGGTGAAGATGAAGAACAGGACCAGGAGCACGGTGAAGATGATGAAAACGTAGGGGCCACACAGTTGCTGAAACACACAAGACACACACAGGTTTAGAATCCTGCTGGTGCCTGTCGCCTTGGCTGAGTCACTGTCCCTTGTGAACTGTGATCAGGAAAAGGGAGCGCCCAGTGCACGCCAGGATGCAGTGCCAGGATGCAGTGACAAGGGCAGGAGTGGTCCAACGGCTTAGCCAGGAGACCTTGGAGCCACAAGGCTCCTGAGCCTCAAGTTCCGCCACCACCAGATTGTGAGTAAGAAAAGCTGGGAGCGCCGTGCACACATCAAAAGCATTTAATTCTGAAGACCAGCCATTTCTGTTACGAAAGTTATGGAAGGAGAGAAGCAGTCTATTTACAAATTGCGTTGTCTGGATCTACCATAAATAACCTAGCATTCCAGACTGACAAACAGAAAAGCACTTATAGCCAGACCCCACAGGGCAGAGCTCAGGAGCAGCCAGTTCACGCGTGCCAATGAGAACTGGTGAGCGTAAGCAACAGGGGCGTACTCACCTCCACGTACTGGAAGCACATGCCCACAATGAAATTCGAGGTCCAGTTGGAGAAGCCAGCAACGGCAATAGCAGCTGGACGGGGACCCTGACTGAAGAGCTCAGCTACAATAAACCACGGGATGGGGCCAGGACCCACTTCAAAGAAGGCCACGAAGCCGAAGATGGCCACGATGCTCAGATAGGACATCCAGGGCAGCTGCTCCTGTTGAGGAGGAGAAGAGATGGGTGTTAGAGCTAAACTCAATCTGTAGAAAGAAGGGCCAAAGCTAGGTGCCCTGAGCAGACTGCAGGAGCCATGGGGCTGAGCCTGGCTCTGCTGTCTCACCGGGAGACAATTTCAGCCCTGCAGGGTGGCTGTGTCCCCCCCTGGGAACAGTAACATGCTTTGTGGGGGGAGAGGCCTCTGGCCCCCTGGCTCCAGAGGCGGAGCAGCCTGGCCTTGGCAGGAGCATGGGCACACATTCCCGGGCATGGGGGTGGATTCCTGCTGTGAGGCTTGTCCTGTGCCCAGCTCAGCCTGTGGGGAGGAGGCACCAGGCAAGTTGTTCTGTGGATGATCATTCTTCTCAGGAGCCCACCAGGGAATTGGTTTCAGTTCAAATCCCGGACCTGCTTCTCTTGCAGTATGCCGGACCTTCTCGCCCTCACTGGGCTTTCTAAGCCTCAGTCCAGTTGTAAACCAAGCCTCATGGTCGAACAACTGGTGTCCAAGTGCCTAAGGGCCTGGCACAGGGCATCATGGTGGGTCGTCAGGGGCCTGTGGTCAATAGGGCTCAGGTTAGATTCCTGGCTTCATCCTTGACTTGGGTTAGCAGACTCCTTGCCCGTGAAACAGGAGTAACACCTAGCATGCACACTAGTTGCAAGAATTCAGTAGTAGAAGTGGTGTGTCTCTGCACCTCTATGGTTGTTTTGAAGGAGCCTTGGTGGTGCTGTGGCTTAGGCACTAGGCTGCAAACCTCAAGGCTGGCAGTTCAAATCCATCAGCCATTCCTTGGGAGAAAGATGAGGCTGGCTGCTCCCATAGAGATGTAGTCTGTGAGAAACCCTATATGGGGTCTCTATGAGTCAGACTTGACTACAATGGATGGTGGGGTGGTGGTTTTCAACGGGGCCAAAGATGAAGACTTTGAAAGGTTTCATTTTGGTTGAATCAACTCACTCCCTGGGGAGTAGGGGACTTGGGCTATGCAAAGAAGCCACCAAGTGGAGAGACACAGGTCTCAGCCAGGTGACCCTCAGCAGCTTCTGCCGGGCCTTGGACCAAGATCAAGGAGATCTGAGGCCCACTGTGAACTTGCCACCCTGCTGCAGCCTCACCTCCCCTCCAGCTGAGGACTCACCAGCAGTGCCAGGGCGATGGTCATGAGCACAGCACAGCCGGCCATGCCAGCCAAGCCGATGAGGTGCAGGGTCCGCCGGCCGGCTCGCTCCACCACGAACAGCTGGGGGTTGGAGAGGAGTGTCAGCACTAGCGCCCAGCCCTCCAGATGCCCCCTGAAATCCTCCCACCCACAGGCTCGTCCTCCAGCTGGAAAAGCCACCCAGCTCTGCCCAGTGAGACCTGGAGGAAGACGGCACTGCCTCCCCGTGGCACTCCACTTGGGGCCAGAGTGGAGTGAGGGCGAGATAGTTGGACCTAGAGAGCCAGGCAGCCGGGCACCCTGGCTGTGCCCTTGGGGAGGCATTTCGCCCTGAGCAGCGTGGCCTCAGCTGGGCGAGAAGTGGTGAACTTTGTGTGCTGCTGAGGGTGGGAAGAGACGCACTTAGACATCCAGAGACAGAGGCCTGGCTCTCGGGCCCACGAGACCCTGGGCTGCATCCTGGCTACTGACAGCTGGCAGGCGGGGGAGCGGGGAGACTCACCGAGACGACAGTGAAGGCTGTGTTGACAATGCCAGAGCCGATGGTGGCATACACGGGCTGTTGCACGCCTGCCTTCTCAAAGATGCTGGTGGAGTAGTAGAAGACCTGCCCGGCAAAGAATCCCTTAGGACTGCGGCCATCCCGCCTCGGCACCAGTGCGGGAGTGGGGAGGAGACACCCAGCGAGCAGCCCGGCAACAGGGGAGGTGGACGCTGTCCCCAGGGACCCCACTGCCTTGCAGTGGCCAGCTCTCAGGGAACCGGCTCGCTCGTTCACTTGGGTTTGGTCACAGCCCACCCTTGACCCAAGGCTTGCCCGGGGCCCCAGGACTCACGGCATTGATGCCCGACAGCTGCTGGGACAGCTGCAGCACCACGGCGATGAGGATGGGCTGGCGGTAGGCGGCGGAGCGGAACAGCTCCAGGATGGTGACCTTCTTCTCCCGGAGCATCTGCCGGCTCTCTTCCTTCATCTCCTGCAGGTCCCGGGACACGTCCGCCGTCCCGCGCAGCTTCTTCAGTACTGCCGGGGCCACAGG